GCCCGCCCGCCGTCCGCGTAGCACGCACCACTCTGTACTCAACAGCTTCAGTCTCCAAGACAACACCCTGTAGTCAACAGCTCCCTTCTTCAAGGCAACACCCTGTACTCAACAAGCTCCCGCTGCAAGAGAGCACCCTTAAGGAATTCATTCAAATCCCGACCCGCCCGCCGCCCGCCCGCCCGCCCGCCCGCCGCCCGCCTGGCCGCTCGCCCGCCTTCCGCGTAGCGCGCGCCAGCCTGCACTCAACAGCCTCCGCCTCCAAGACAACACCTAGCATTCAACAGCCCCCAGGGCTCCCGGGACTGCCCGGGCCCGCTCCCAAACACGCCACGACACGCCAAGAGGGCCCTAAAGATTGCCAAGACAGCCCCAAAAGGCCCCAGGCACGCCGAAGATGGCCTCAGGACGGCCGACACGCCGCCAAAACGCCCCAAGGGCGCCTCCAGAGGCCCCTCCAAAGGGCCCCGCATTTTTGCGCTCTCGCATTTTCCGCCTCCCCACGGTCCCAGACGGCGTCAGAGGCCCTTCAGATCGCTCCAAGACGGCCGAAGAGGCTCCCAAGAAAGACAAGAGACGGCCCAGGATGCTCCACGGATAATTCAAGAGGGCCTCGAGAGCGCCCCAAGAGAGCCCCAAGAGCGACCCAAGAGGGCCCGAGGAGCGCGACATTTCACGGTCTCCAGCCTGAGAGGCTCCTAGGACGCCCCCGGAGGCCATCAAGAGGCGCCCAAGAAGCCCCGTGAGGCTCCCAAGAGGCCCCCCGGAAGCCCCAATCAGCCCCCAGGGAAGCCCCCTGCGGGCCCCCAAGAGACCTCGGTAAATCATATTTCCCAGAGCTTTCCGGGAACATGATTCCTTGGGCTTCCGCCCACCGCCCCAACCATGTTTCCAATAGGCTTGCCGACAAGGCCAAAAAGGGCCCCTCGGTAGGCACCCAGAGGCCCCCCTCTTAAGAGAGCCGAGCAAATCATGCTCCTGGAAAGCTTCCCGGGAACATGATTCTCGGGTTGCCGCCTTCTCCCCAAACCATGTTCCCTAAACACCTGCCAGGATAAAATTATCCCGGCAAAGCAACCTAACAGCGATGTGTAGAAGCATATCTGAAAGCATTCCCCTTAAGATTCAGATGAAAATCCAGTTGTCGAATTCTGTTGTTCTCGCAGTCGTAGTCGCATTCGCGATGACAGTCGCAGCGGCAACGGCAGTCGCAGTCACAGCCTCAGCCTCAGCCTGCCTCCTCCTCCTCCTCCTCCTGCTCCTCCTCCTCCTCCTCCTCCTCCTCCTCCTCCTGCTCGTCCTCGTTCTCGTCCTCCTCGTCTTGCTCGTCCTCCTCCTCCTGGTGCTCTCTCCTCCTCCTCCTCCTCCTCCTCCTCCTCCTCCTCCTCCTCCTCCTGGTGGTCCTCGTTCTCCTCCTCCTGGTGCTCTCCCCCCCCCTCCTCCTCCTCGTCCTCCTCCTCCTCCTCCTCGTCCTCCTCCTCCTCTTCCTCCTCCTCCTCCTCCTCCTCCTCCTGGTAGTCCTCCCCCTCCCCTCCTCCTCCTCCTCCTCCTCCTCCTCCTCCTCCTGGTCGTCCTCGTTCTCGTCCTCCTCGTCTTGCTCGTCCTCCTCCTCCTGGTGTTCTCTCCTCCTCCTCCTCCTCCTCTCCTCCTCCTCCTCCTCCGCCTCCTCCTCCTCCTCCTCCTCCTCCTCCTCCTCCTCCTCCTCCTCCTCCTCCTCCTCCTCCTCCTCCTCCTCCTCTGTACTCCTCCCCCTCCCCTCCTCCTCCTCCTCCTCTTCCTGGTCGTCCTCCTCCTCCTGGTCGTCCTCCTCCTCCTGCTCGTCCTCCTCCTCCTCCTGCTCGTCCTTCTTCTCCTGCTCCTCCTGCTCCTCGTCCTGCTCCTGCTCGTCCTCGTCCTCCTGGTCTTGCTCGTCCTCCTCCTCGTCGTGCTCTTGCCCCTGCTGAAAATGTGGCCCAGGAATGGGAGTTCTGGGAAGTCGAAGAGCACGAAGTTGCTTACAGTTGGCTACGGGCATTCAAAATGTGGCCCGGGAATGGAGTTCTGGGAACTCGAAGAGCACGAAGTGGCCTACAGTTGGCTCCGGGCATTCAAAATGTGGCCCGGGAATGGAGTTCTGGGAACTCGAAGAGCACGAAGTGGCCTACAGTTGGCTCCGGGCATTCAAAATGTGGCCCGGGAATGGAGTTCTGGGAACTCGAAGAGCACGAAGTGTGTGACTGTTGCATCCGGCATCCAGAATGTGGCCCGGGAATGGCGTTCTGGGATGTCGAAGAGCACGAAGTGTGTGACTGTTGCATCCGGTTATTCTAAATGTGGCCCGGGAATGGCGTTCTGGGATCTCGAAGAGCACGAAGTGTGTGACTGTTGCATCCGGGTATTCAGAATGTGGCCTGGGAATGGAGTTCTGGGAAGTCGAAGAGCACGAAGTGTGTGACTGTTGGTGAAAAACGAGCCCGGCACCCTGCCGCCCGGCAACTCCCCAACACCTGCCCGGACCCCCCTGTGGAGTGATCTGTGAGCTCTTTTGAGACCACTAGAAACCTATCAGTCTTCGCTGTTAGGTAAAAACGAGAGTCCCAAGCAGCGCTACCTGCCGCCACGCTCGGAAACGTGTCAGGCCCCGAAGCCGCTGGAGGCGCCCAACGACACCCCGACAAATCACGTTCCCAGGAATTCTTACGGCCAGTGCCGCCGACGTTGAAGGAGGACGGTCCAGGACACCCAGAAATCTTCCAAACAGGCTTCCAAGAGGGCGCCGAGACAGCCCAGGGCCGCCCCCAGACGGCCCAAGAAAGCCCCAACACAGACGAAAAGGGCCGCAAGAGGCCCCCAAGAGGCCCCGAAACGAGGACATATCGTTCAAACACACCCAAGATGGCCTCCGATAGACGGCCCACAAGGCTTCCAACACGGCCCAAAGGGATGCCAAAATCATTGATTGTCCTTAGGTTTTTGATGGATTTCAGATTCCCAATGTCGCCCCAACAGGCCCCCACGAGGGCGCCGAGACGGCCCAGGGACGCCCTGCCGCAGGCACGAGGCGGGGGCCCGGGACGGGGCCCTCGCATCGGGGGGCCCGGGGGCCCTGCCGTGGCGTTGGGGGCCTTGCAAAGTCGCCGGAATATGGCCCTGGATTGCCAGGAATGGTGTTTCCAGACAACGAAAACGACTAATGACCGCCCGAGATCACCCCAGAATTGGTCGCTGACTGTCCAAGAGGCCTCCAAGACGCCGAGGTCTCCAAGATGGCTCCCAAGGAGCCCCAGGAGGCACAACTAATTTGCTTTCCCTTGGTTCTTGATTGATTTTCGAGTTCTCTCCTTTTGAGTTTCCTGATGCTCCACGACGGCCCAAGAGGCTTCAATTTCCGCTCCAAGGCATCCCCAGAGGCCTCGAAGACGGTCACAAGACAGCCCACGGGGGTCCCAAGACGGCGCCAGAGGCGCCCAAGGCGGCCCGAGAGGGCCCCAAGACAGCCCCAAGATGGAGCCAAGAGGGTTGACACGAACCGAAAATCCGAGTCTTCCACCCCGAGAGGCTCTCAGGAGGCCCCGAAAAGCCCCTAACAGGCTTCACGAGGCCCCAAGAAGCTCACCAGGGGGCCGGAGAGTAATCCAAGAGGCCTCCCACGAAGGGTCCAAGAGGCACAAATCCATGTCTTGCCATAGGTTGTTGATTGATGTTAGAGTTTTCAGTCTTTTGGCGTCCTGACGCTCCAAGACGGCCCAAAAGGCCTCCAACACCAATCCAAGATAGCCCAAGAGGCCTCCAACAGGGCCCAAGACAGCCCGAGAGGGCACCAATACGGCCCCAAGGGGGGCCCAAGAGGGGTAAAACGAACCGAAAGTCCGAGCCTTTCACCCCAAGAGGCTCTCAGGAAGCCCCAGAGGCCCCCACATGGGACCCAAGAGGCCCTCAAGAAGCTCCCCAGAAGGCCGAAGAGCTTCCAAGAAGCATTGTTTTCCCATCGGGTTTTGGTGGATTCTAGAGTTCCCAGCCTTTCGGCATCCCGACGCTCCAAGACGGCCCAAGTGGCCCCCAAGACCGCTCCAAGATAGCCGAAGAGGCCTCCAAGACGGCCCGCGAGGGCCCCAAGAGGGCCCCGAGAGAGCCCCAAAAAGGGGAACGCGAACCCAACAGCAGAGCTTTCTGCCCTAAGAGGCCCACAGGTTGCCCCAAGAGTCCCCAAGTGGTCCGACGAGACCTCCCAAAGCCCCGCACCAGGCCCCAAAAGGCTCACAGGAGACGTACACGGGGCCCCAAGATAGCCGAACAGTGCCCTCGATGCATGAAAATTGATTCAAGGAGGCCCCGGGAGGTTTTTGGATTGCCCCAATGTGGCCTCAAGCCGGGCCTCCACGCAGCCAAGACGGCCAATTGACTGCTTCAGACTGCAGAACATCATTTTCCGACTGCCCGGAGAACCCTGACGATGCCCCCAAGGGACCCCAAGAAGCCCCAAGATGCCCCCCCGAGAAGCACCCAAGAGGTGCCTCCAACAGCCAATTGAGGAAGCACGGAGAACCCCCCAGAAGCCCTTCAGATGCCCCCGCACAGACCCAAGAGGTTCCCAAGAGGCCCTCAGGAGGCACGACTATGTCACGCGCCTGTGCTTGATAGCGCTGTCCAAGATCTTCTAGCGCGCCCCTGGCCTGGACTAGAACCTGAGCGCGCGCGAAGCGCGGGCGATGGTTCTAGAATATATATATATATATATACATACATATGTGTATATATATATATATATACACACACGTCCGAGCGGCGGCAAGATGGGGTCGAAGTAGGGCGTCGTTCATGTCCTGGCGATGCCGAGGGTGACAGGGGTGGGTGGGAGGGGGGATGGGCGGGTCACGTCACGAATCGCGCTGGCGCCGTGTGAGTCCTCAGGGATGGCTAACCTCCACACGGTGCTATCGCGAATCGTGACATGAGCAGGGGGGAGGAGGGGCGGGGGATGGCGGGACCGGCGCCATGATCAACAAACGGGCTCGTAGATGGGATGGGAGGATGGCGCCGCATCGCCGATGCATCGGCTATGCGGCTCGATGTTTGGCCGCCTATGGCGCCGCTGCATCGCTGACGTCACCGATGCATCGCCAAGGCATCGCCGGCACATCGGTGAGGCATGAGCGATGCGGCGCCATCTTCCCGCCCATCTACTCGGACGATCTTTTGGGCGGCCCCCCCAGGTCAACATACTCTACGACCACCCCACCGGCGCCAGGCCCTGGCTGCAGGTTCAGCGGCACTGTAACGGGTACTCACTAACGGATATTTTGGTGGAGACTTACCGAAAGTTGCTACTCTGGGGCCTTTTTTTTCTGGCATTGCAGCGCTGCCCACATCGGGGAGGGCTGGGTTCGCCGTGTCTGTGGCCAAAGTGCCCGCTAGTGAAGTCCCCGTTAGATCCGACGAAGGCATCTATACACCACCACCGTGCCAGGCCAGCATCCTGGGCCCTAGGATGGTGTATAGACCCTCCTGGCCTCGGCCAGGAGGGCGTCTACACCACGCCAGGGCCCAGGATGGCCCTGGCTTTGCACGGTGGTGGTGTATAGATACTTTCTGCGTGTTAGAGGGGCGCTGACAGGTGCCGCCGCTGTCGCTGGCCTCTGCCCTCCCGCCGCGGGGCGACGACGGCTGCGGCAGCTCCAGCGGCGCCGCCGCCGCGGGGCCCGAGGCCGCCTGGGCGCCCCCCGCGGCGCCTGCCGCCGAGGGCGCGGCGGCGGCCTTCGAGGAGGCATGGCAGAGCGGGCTCCGGGCGCGGTCGCTGCCGCAGGCGCAGCCCCTGCTCCTCCATCTCCTCCACCTCCACCTCCTCCTCCTCCTCCTCCTCTCCTCCCTCCTCCTCCATCTCATCCTCATCATCCTCCTTCCTCCACCTCCTCCTCCTCCTCCTCCTTCACCTCCTCCTCCTCCTCCTCCGCCTCCGCCGCCGCCTCCGCCTCCTCCTCCTCCTCCTCCTCCTCCTCCTCCTCCTCCTCCTCCGCCGCCTCTGCCTTCGCCTCCGCCTCCGCCTCCGCCTCCGAGGCGCCGCAGCCGCTCTCGGAGACCACTGGCGCCGTGGGCGCCGAGGGAGCTCGGCCGGGGAGCGCCGCGAGCGGCCAGCGGCTCCGGAGCGCCCTGGACGTCACGCCTGCCGCGGGCGCCGAGGTGGGGCGGAGGGGCGACGACGCCGCCTGCGCGGGCTGCGGCCTGCGGCCCTACCTGGCGGGCGCGGTGATCGGGTCCGCGGTCACTCTGGCGGCGCTGGCCGTGGCGCGCCATCGGAGCGACTTGGCGGGCAGCCAGGACGCCCTGGGCGTGCTGCTGGAGTGCTGGTCGGGCCTCGCTCTGCCGGACTGCAAGGCGCACGAGTACGAGCGCGTCGGCTCGGCCGCGGACGTCCTGCGGGGGGAGCCGGAGCCCTACGAGCACGCCTCGCCCCGAGAGCTGGAGGACCTGCCGACGCTGACGTCGCGCGGCAGGCCCAGGTCGTCGTCGCCGCTCGCGCTGCCGCTGGAGCCAGCCGGCGCGGGCTGGTCCTATGGCGGCCAGGGCGCCCCCGAGCTATGGCGCCGCAGCGAGGCGCCGGCTTGGACGCCGCGGCGCCGCGAGGAGGCGGAGCCGCGGCGGGCCGCGGCGGGCCCGCCCGCGCCCGGCGGGTGGTCCCTGCTCTCGCTGCTGCCCGAGGCCCTGTGGCCCGCCGCGGGGCGGCCCCCGCCGGCGCGCGCCGTGGCCGCCGCGCGGCGCGGGCCGCCGGCGGGCGGCGCCGCGCCCTGCTCGCCGCGGGAGCCGCGGTGCGCCTCGAGGGGCCCAGCGCCCGGGCGCAGCCCGCGAGGCGCGGAGCCGTGGGGCGGCGGCGGCGGCCGCAGCCCGCGGAGCCCGTCGCCGGGGCGCTTCGTGGCGGCCGACGACCGGCGCTTCGTGGAGCAGCGCAGCCCGCGCTGGGGCGCTGGCCCGAGCCCGAGGTGATGGGCCTGTTTTCCACCACCACCCCCATAAGTTGAAGGGGGGAAGGAGGTGGAGGATGAGGAAGAAAGGAGAAGGAGGAAGACTCCCTCCCCCTCCTACTTATGGTGGTGGTGGTGGAAAACAAGCTGTCCACGAGGGGCGGTCCGACCCTGGCGGCCGTCTCGCGCAGCGAGGCGTCGCGCTCGCGCGTCACGTTCGCCGCCGACGTGGGCTCCTCGAGGCTGTAAGCGGGGCTGCCGGCGCTGGCGCTGGCGGCGGGTGTCGGCGCCCACTGCGGCGGGGCTGCGGGTCGTGCTTGTGTCGAGCGCCCCGAGCGTCCACCTCCGATCGCTGGCGGCGTCGCCTCCCAGAGGAGCAGAGGATGCGAGGCCTGCCGAGGCGCTGGCGGCGGCCGCGAGAAGCCAGCGCCGACCGTGCCCTCCAGCAGAACCACGGGGTCCACGTCGCTGATTTTAGGTCCCAGCCCACAGGTGTACAGTGCAGCACAGTGCAGCGGGCGTCACTGCTGGGACGGCCGAAGGTCCTCCTGGCACGCTCTGTCGCTCGGATCGCGCAGGTCTGTTTGGAATTGAGGTTAACGCTTGCGAGTCTGCGAGGCAATCCCCGAGCTATCTGCGCAGTCACGCTCCATAATAATTACCTGTCCACGCGATGTCTCCTCGCCACCGATCCGTTCTGTTTGCCTGCCGACGCGTGTTCTCCACTGCTGGCTTGGGTAGCACAAATCGAATGGACGAGAGCAACCTAATTTACACATCAGAGACCTCGTTATCGCCCATCCTGAACTCAATTCGGAATGCTGGTCATTCTGGTTTCTCGATTTGGGAGGGCGCGAACAAGCAAGGACATGCCAAAGAGGCCCCACCACCCAGGCACAACCCGCCAGGCCGAAAGGGGCAATTCACCAGCAGCCAGATTACATCAAACATACCTAACAGAGGAGAGATCCCCAACACCAAGGCCGAGCCAGACTGAACCATGAAACGTATGTGGCTTATGATTAGAAAGTCCAGGGTTCGCTAGGGACTGGTTTCCTGTCAAAATAGCAGAAACCTTCCGAAAACCATCCGGGAAGGGTTCTGGCAGGGTTTTCGGAGGGTTTTGGACAGGTTTTCGTTGTTTTGTGTGGGAACAAGTCCCTGGCGAACCCTGGGCGAGCCTAAGCAGCTCGGGCGAGCCAATTAGCACGTCAGCAGCACCGAGCCAGTCAGAGCGCACGAAGCAAATCCCGAGCACCGCCGCAAAGCAGGCATGATGCCAGAACAAGTCCGCGTTACCCAAGGGCAGTCGCAGACACTGGGGCGGTGTATGCGACATGTGATCGTTTTTACCTAACAGCTTTTGCTGATAGGTTTCTAGTGGTCTCAAAAGAGAGCAGCAGATGACTCCACAGGGGGGTCGGGGCGGCTGCCGGGGAGCTGTGTCCGAACTCGTGTCCGAATGCGCTTTTCACAAACAGTCACACGCTTCGTGCTCTTCGACCTCCCAGAACTCCATTCCCGGGCCACATTCTGAATGCCTGGAGCCAACTGTAAGCCACTTCGTGCTCCTCGACTTCCCAGAACTCCATTCCCGGGCCACATTTTGGATGCCCGGAGCCAACTGTAGGCCACTTCGTGCTCTTCGTATTCCCAGAACTCCATTCCCGGGCCACATTTTGGATGCCCGGAGCCAACTGTAGGCCACTTCGTGCTCTTCGATTTCCCAGAACTCCATTCCCGGGCCACATTTTGGATGCCCGGAGCCAACTGTAGGCCACTTCGTGCTCTTCAAGTTCCCAGAACTCCATTCCTGGGCATGATTTTGAATGCCCGGAGCCAACTGTAGGCCACTTCGTGTTCTTCTAGTTCCCAGAACTCCATTCCTGGGCCACATTTTGAATGCTGAGGCAGGCTGATGCTGCGGCCGAGGCAGGCTGAGGCTGAGGCAGGCTGAGGCTGAGGCCGAGGCTGAAGGCAGACTGAGGCTGAGGCTGAAGCAGACTGAGGCTGAGGCTGAGGCAGGCTGAGGCTGAGGCTGAGGCAGGCTGATGCTGAGGCAGGCTGAGGCTGAGGCTGAGGCTGATGCAGGCTGAGGCTGAGGCAGGCTGAGGCTGAGGCCGAGGCCGAGGCTGAGGCAGAGGCTGAGGCTGAGGCTGAAGCAGGCTGAGGCTGAGGCTGAGGCAGGCTGAGGCTGAGGCAGGCTGAGGCTGAGGCTGAGGCAGGCTGAGGCTGAGGCTGTGACTGCGACTGCCGTTGCCGCTGCGACTGTCATCGCGAATGCGACTACGACTGCGAGAACAGCAGAATTCTACAACTGGATTTTCATCTGAATCTTAAGGGGAATGCTTTCAGATATGCTTCTACACATCGCTGTTAGGTTGCTTTGCCAGGATAATCTTAGTAATTGCTTTGCTGACTGGCGCGGACCCTCGCCCCCCCCCCGCCCCCCCCCTGTGGAGTTGATCTTGGCTGTTTTGTGGCGCCTGTTTCGAGCAGGTGGAGTCTCTCCCCTATCTGACGCACTGCTGCAAAAAGTCGCACTCAGCAGGGGTCCAGAGCCAGACCCCCCCCCCCTCCCCCCCTTTCCGCCCAATGTTGGAATGCTACATAAGAAAACACTGACAGGCAAGTCCGCGTTACCCCAGGGCAGTCGCAGCCACGGGGGTGGTGCATCCGACATGAGGGAGCCGCCAGGTTGCATGACACGGGCCCAGTCTCGCCCACAGTGTCGGGGGACCCCGTCCAGCAGAATGGCGACTGTTGGGAGGGAGTGGGGGCGGGGACGCTTGAGGGCCACGCCGACCTGCTTCTAGAAGACCAACTTCTGGGGCCGATGCCAAATACCGTTCTCACGTCCTAGCCAATAGCGTCTATGGATGCATTGGGTGCCGTGGCGTTCACTGACACTTTCAGGGTGGATACGCATATGGACAACGTGGCCGTTGCGTTCGGCGCAGTGCAAGGTAGGAGAAAGGTAGACCTGTCTACGGCACGTTCCTGTTTTAGAGCAGGTCCCACATGGTACTCCAAGGGTGCCGCGTCTCTTCTCAGAGCAGGGGTGGACCCAAACGGTGTTTGTTTGCGAGCTTTGTGTGGGCCGCTTTCGTTTCGATCTTTGCTTCTGCAGCAGAGGCGGATTGAAGACAGAACGATGGAGACCGAAAACAAAACGAACCCAAGAAAGATTGTGTTTATGTCGACCACAGCCTCAGAGCCCCAGGTTCGTCGCGATGCAGCAGGCATGGCACGTGGGCTTCCCATGGGGAAGCCGACGGGGCCCATATGACACGGGCCGGTTCGCGCCCAGGCGGGTCGGGATCTCTCGGGCAGAATGTGTTGTGCACTCTTTTTGTGTGTGGGGGGGCGGGATTCCGAGCCTTCTGAGGCCTTCGCCTTCTCATTTCCCCAAATCGCTCGCCGCCGACCGATATTCCGACGATCCGATGCGGCCCGATGTTTGCATGTTGTTGCTGTGTATCCCGGCGCAGCCGATCTGGATCGACCTCGACTCCGTGCCGCTGCGGCCAGATTCGATATGCATGGCCGGTAGAGGGAGACAATTCGTGGGCACTCCCCGGCCCCCCCCAAGCTCAAAGTTGGCACGCGCAGAAAGATTGCGGTCGAAGTGCAGCTCGTTCAACCCACCGCCGACATTGATCTTTGGGGGGGCATTGACAGATGAATGCGGCATGAGTGTTCACTATTTTCTTTCGAGGCCGCGTAGAGGGAAACAATTCGTGGACACTCCCCTGCTCCCCGAAACTCAAAGCTGGTACGCGCGGGGAAGACTGGTCGAAGTGCAGCTCGTTCAACCAACCGCCAACTTTGATCATTGGGGGGGCATTGACAGACGAATGCGGCATGAGTGTTCGCTAATTTCTTCCGGGGCCTGCAGCTACAGATTCCCGCCTCGGGGGCCAAACCGGAGTTACCCCCAGACCAGGGACCCAGACCGGAGTTACCCTCGGACCGCAGTTATCCTGGATAATTCGGGCGTCCAGCCTTCCCGAATCATCAGGGCTGGGGGCAGTGAAGGGTAACTACAGATTCGCGTCTCGGGGGTCATAGCCGGAGTTACCCCAAAACCGCAGTTCTCCCAGAGAGTTCGGGAACCCAACTTTCCCGAATCATCAGGGCCGGGGGCAGTCAGGGGGGTAGCTACAGAATCGCGCCTCAGGGGCCCCAACTGGAGTTACCCTTGGACCGCAGTGATCCCGGAGAACTCGGGCGTCCAAAATTTGCGCGTGTGCGAGCGTTCGTCCGTCGGGCGGAGGCGACAGGCTCTACGCCTCCCAGACCTAGATGGGATTGGAGTAGATGGGGTCGGATGCTCGCGCCGCATCGCAGATGCATCGACGATGCGGCTCGATGTGGAGCCCGGAGCCCCTGCTTCCCCACGCCGACGTCGCCGATGCGTTGCCGACGTCGCCGATGCATCGGCGATGCATCGCCGATACATCGGCGATGCACTGTCGGTGCGGCCCGATCCTCCGACCCCATCTGCTCCGACCCCCTCTAGGAGCCCTCCAGTCGAGCGGCGGCGGGGGCCCGCTGCCCTGCCGCCCTCGGCCGCTGCCGCGGATTACCGTCAACCCGCATATAGTAGGGAGGGGCAGCCTTCCCAGGGGTACCCTTGCGTCCTTGCCTCCTCTGTCCATCCTTGGCCGCTCTGGCTGGCCCGCTGCCCTGCCCCTCTGAAGAGAGCGCCCTCGGCCGCTGCCGCGCCACCGCCGGCGCTTGAAGGTGGGCTTCGACGGCGACCACGGCGGGGGCGGGGCTCCCGCGGCAGGAGGGTCCCCTGCCGCCGCCGTCGCCACTGCCGCCGCTCTCGGTCTCCTCCCCGTTCCCCTCCTCCTTTTCCTCCTTCTCCTCGTTTTCCTCCTCCTCCTCCTTGTCCTTCTTCTCCTCGTTCTCCTCCTCGTTATCCTCGTTCTCCTCCCCTTCCTTCTTCTTCTCCTCCATTTACTGTTTCTCATCGTTCTCCTCCTTTTCCTCCTTCTCCTCTTTCTCGTCCTCCTCCTTTCCGTCGTGTTCTCCTCCGCCCTTGGCCACCGCCGCCGCCCTCGTCCTCGTCCTCCCTTCTCCTCGGTCGGTCGGCCTGCCTGAGCACAAGAAGGTCGAAGCGCATGATGGCGAGAGAGAGAGAGGGGGACAGAGAGGCGCGAGCACCAGAGGGTGAAGAACAGAGCAGAGGCTGCAGCCGAAACTGCAGCAGAGCTGATGACGGGACGGCAATTCTCAGGCGCCAGCAGGCGTGCGTGTGCCCTTCATGGAAGTGGGCAGGCCGAGAGCTTTATTGCGCAAAGTGGCTGGGCACGTCAAAGGGGGGTAGAAGAAAGGACAGGACTCGTGGAAACGACGAGACCTTCCCCAGCAGGGGTCGGCCAGACCCTTGTGAGTCCCTGGCTTTAGTCAGGGTGTCGATCCTTACATTTTACCATCTTGCACAGCTGTGCTCTAGAGCTCGGACATCGTTATTGTCGTCGTGGTTCGTGGTTCGTGGTGGTTCGTCCCCCTCGGCCCTTCCCCTGAGCCTGAGCCCCAGCTCCCCTGGGCCACCCCCCCTTGGGACCCCCCCTCCGCCCAGGCTTCCCAGGGCAGTCCCCCTGGGCCCAGGGCAGCCCCCCTGGGCCGCGGAACCCGTTCATTTTCGACCTGGCTCGTGGTGGTTCGCTCCCCCGCCCCCTCCCCCCCCCCTCCCTGAGCCTGAGCCCCAGCTCTCCTGGGCCACCCCCCCTTCTGGGACCCCCCCATCCATCCAGGTTTCCCAGGGCAGCCCCCCTGGGCCGCGGAACCCTCCATGTTCGTCGTGGTTTGTGATGGTTCGTCCCCCTCGGCCCCCCTCCCCCTCAGCCTGAGCCCCAGCTCCCTGGGCCACCCCTCCTTGAGACCCCCCTCCGTCCAGGCTTCCCAGGGCAGCCCCCTGGGCCGCGCAACCCGTTTATTTTCGTCGTGGCTCGTGGTGGTTCGTCTCCCCTCGCCCCCCCCCCCCCCCTTCTGAGCTTGAGCCCCAGCTCACCTGGGCAACCCACCCTTGGGACCCCCCTCTCCGCCCAGGCTTCCCACGGCAGCCGCCCAGGGCCGCGGAACGCTTTATTTTCGTCGTGGTTTGTGGTGGTTCGTCCCCCTCGGCCCCCTCCCTGAGCCTGAGCCCCAGCTCCCCTGGGGCACCCACCCTTGGGAGCCTTCCTCTGTCCAGGCTTCCCAGCTCCCCTGGGCCACCCCCCCTTGGGACCCCACCTCCGCCCAGGCTTTCCAGGGCAGCCCCCCTGGGCCGCGGAACCATTTTATTTTCGTCGTGGCTCGTGGTGGTTCGTCCCCCTCGCCCCCCGTGGGGGTGGTATCTTTGCCTAGGTGGCTTGTGCGCTTTCCCTCATTATCATCGCATTTCTCGTTTTCTGTTTCTTGCTCTCTCTCTCTCTCTCTCTGTCTCTCTCTCCTTCTCTCTCTCTCTCTCTATCTTTCCCTCCCTTCCGGATTGGATTCTGATTAGATTCCAATTGGATTCCAATAGAAATGCGACGATCCCGTGTCAATTGGATTCATGTTGGAATGTAATTGGGTTCAAGTAGGATTTCAATAGGAAGGGAGCGGATCCCAGACCCGCATGATTTCGATTTGGATTATAATGACATTTCAATGTGTTTTTTGTTTTATTTTTGTTGTGTGTATATATATATATATATATAAAAAAAGTCAGGGCCCCGCATCCAGAGGATTTGTATTGTAATCTAATTGGGTTATAATAAGATTTCAATCGAGAGAGAGCGGATCCCAGACCCAGAGGATTTCGAATTGGATTCTAATTGGATCCCAATTGGATTGCAATAAGGAAGGGGCGGACCCCGCATCCAGGAAATCTTTTCATTGAGAAATACATAGCAGCGCTGTGTGCTCCAGCACTCTTAATCTGAATCAATACAAAACGCTGTGTGTTTTCAATTGTTTTAGTGGTCAACAAATGAAAACGTTATCGTTTACATCGCTTCCGTGAAGAATTTAATCAAATCTGATTGATTGTCCAATGTATTTGTATTGAGAAACCAATAAAAACGCAATGTGTTCCACCTTCTTAAATACAAATTGATAAAAACGCTGGGTTGTCCAATCTTGCCAACCAAAATCCAATATAAAAAAAAAACGCCTTGTTTTCCCATTGGTTATGTACAGCTAAATAAAAACACTGTGATTTCCAATCTCTTTATTTAAAAATCAATGAAAACGTTGTGGTTCCTAGGTGGTTCACTTAAAATCAATATATATATATATATATATATATATATATATATATATATATAATATATATATATCCGCATAGACCACCCTTCGGGTGATGAGGATGCGAGGGGGGGAGGGACCTACGTCGCACTCGATTGATCTCACTATCGAACCCACTAATTACCGATCTCACAATCGATCTCAATCGATAGATCTCACAATCGATCTGACTATCGATCTCACAATCAATCTCACAATCGATCCCACAATCGATCTCACACTCGGTCTCGCTATTGGTCTCACAATCGATATCACAATCGATCTCGCATTCGATCTGACTATCGGTTTCACTATCAAACTCACGATCGATCTCACTATCGATCTCACATTCGGTATCACCATCGATCTCACAATCGATCTCGCATTCGGCCTCACTATCGAACTCTCTATCGAACTCAGTTTCAATCTCATCATCGATCTCACTATCGATATCACAACCGAACTCACAATCGATCTCACATTCGGTCTCATCATCGATCTCATTATCGAAATCACTACCGATCTCATTACCGATAGTGATCTCACTACTAACTCAATCGATCGATCTCACAATCGATCTGACTATCGATCCCACAATATAATCCACAATCGATCTCACATTCGGTCTCAGTATCGATCTCATTATCGATATCACAATCGATCTCACAATCGATACCCCATTCGGTCTCACAAGCGATCTCACTATGGATCTCATCATCGATCTCACATTCGGTATCACAATCGATCTCACAACCGATCTCACAAGCGATCTGACATTCGATCTCACGTTCGATTTCACTATCGATATCACCACCGATCTCACTATCGATCATCAAAACAAAACATCAACATCGTCCAGCGGGACACCGGCGGGACACCGCGGGGCCCCGGCCGCCCGGAAGGAAGACATTTGGTCCGGCCGCGCCTCAGCCACACGGGACACCAGTGGGACACCGGCGGGACACCGCGGGGCCCTGGCCGCCCGGAAGGGAGACATTTGGTCCGGCCGCGCCTCAGCCACAGGAGACTTTCTCTCGCCCGCCCACGCAGCTTCGCGTCGCCCGCACGCACGGCACGCACGAACACGAAACCGAAAGCGATTTCCCGGTAGGGGGGCTCTCCGTCCCACTTCGATCTCACCCCCTCACCTCCGATATATATATATATATAAATATATATATATATATATATCTATAACACACAAAAAAACGCGGTGTTTCCACTGTCCTAATGTTTTTTCAAGGTTTCGGGCACGGCAACGGGGCGACGCGCGGTCCCCTTTGAAACCACAGCGTGTTCCAATTGTGTTGGAGGGAAAGCAACGAAACACAGTGTTTTACATTTTTTACATTAAAAATTGAAAACAATGTAAAACAATTACATCAAGCGTCGCCCCGTTGCCGTGCCCGAAACCTTGAGAAAAACATTTGAACATTGGAAACACAGCTTTTTTCTATGGGGAAATATGTGAAATAATTTGAATGATTGGAAAACGAAGCGTTTCTGACGACTTTAATTGAACCTCCTAGGAACCACAACGTTTTCATTCATTGCTAAATAAAGAGATTGGAGAGCACAGCGTTTTTTTTTTTAATTCATTTTTGCATAACCAAGATAGGAACACACAGCGTTTTTATTTGTTCGTTGATGAAAAGATGGGGCACACAGCGTTTATATATATATATATGTATACTATTGATATTTATTCACAAACTTTGAACACATTGCGTCTTTATTGATTTTCCAATGCAAAGATTTGACAAAACCAAATATATTTGATTAAATTCTTCACGGGAGCGATGTAAAATATTATGGTTCCATTTGTTGATCACTAAAACAATTGAAAACACACAGCGTTTTGTATTGATTCTGATTAAGGGTGATGGAACACACAGCGTTTTTTTCTCTGCATTTCTCAATGAAAAGATTTGAATCCAATCCTCTGGATGCGGGATCCGTCCTTGGTTTGAAATCCAATTGGAATCGAATTAGAATCCAATTCGAAATCCTCTGGGTCTGGGATCCGCTCTCTCTCGATTGAAATATTATTATCCGTAAGGGCTTCGCCCCCTGCCGCCGGCCCCCTCTCTCGGAGAATGGGCCATGGAAGAGCTAAGTCATGAGGCCTTGGCGCTGTCGTGAAGCAGTATCGAAACTTCATGCGAAGCCGATTCGCAATCAGCAAAACCAACTGATCACAAGAGGGGTTACCACACCTGGCGATTGGTAAGACGTGTATGGTTTACGGGCTTGGTTACCACACCTTGCGATTAAAGGGCCGAGGGAGTTCTCGCAGTTTGGGTTACCACGCCTTGCGATGGATGTGCGTGAAGGGTGGCACCGAATTTCAGAAATGTGCAAATCCCTGTGTTTTTGGACCCTGACACCGCGGATCTGCGTAAAGGGTGGCGCCGAATTTCAGAAATGTGGCAAATCCCATGTGTTTTTGGACCCTGACCCCGCGGATCTGCGTGAGGGCTGGCACCGAATTTCAGAAATGTTGCAAATCCCTTGTGTTTTTGGACCCTGACCCCGCGGATCTGCGTGAGGGGTGGCACCGAATTTCAAAAATGTGGCAAAAATTCTCTATGTTTTTGGACCCTGACCCCGCAGATCTGCGTGAGGGGTGGCACCGAATTTCAGAAATGTGGCAAATCCTATGTGTTTTTGGACCCTGACCCCGCGGATCTGCGTGAGGGGTGGCACCGAATTTCAGAAATGTGGCAAATCCCATGTGTTTTTGGACCCTGACCCCGCGGATCTGCGTGAGGGGTGGCACCGAATTTCAGAAATGTGGCAAATCCCATGTGTTTTTGGACCCTGACCCCGCGGATCTGCGTGAGGGGTGGCACCGAATTTCAGAAATGTGGCAAATCCTATGTGTTTTTGGACCCTGACTCCGCGGATCTGCGTGAGAGGTGGCGATTTCGAGCCCCCCCAGCAATTCAGACAACGCGCCCAGGGGACGCTAAAAAGCCGGTTTGGGCCTCCCCCCCCTCGCGCGGTCAATCAACTAGTTACAGTAACCAGCAAGAAGGAGAACAATCAACTAGTTACAGTAACCAGCAAGAAGCAGAACTGTAACACTGGAAACTACAAGCTACAACTGGTACAGGAGGCTGCGAACCCCGCGCCTACAGCCTGGTGGCCCCACAAGGGGGCCGGCGGATAACCCAAGTAGATTCCAATACAAATCCTCTGTATTCGGGGCCCTTCTTTTTTATATATTGAAATCCAATTGGAATGTCATTAGAATCCAAATAGAAACCATGTGGATCTGGGATCCGCTCCCTTCCTATTGAAATCCCATTAGTCTCTAATTAAATTCCAATATGAATCCAATTGATACGGAATCGTCGCATTTCTATTGGAATCCAATTGGAATCTAATTAGAATCCAATTCGGAAGAGAGGGAGAGGGAGAGAGAGAGAGAGAGAGAGGGAGAGGGAGAGGGAGAGAGAGAGAGAGAAAGAGAGAGGGGCAGTGGAAGGGGACGATCAAGCAGGACAACACAGAAGCCATCTAGGAATCCGTTATTTTCTTCCTGGCTCTTGGTGGTTCGTCCCCTTCGCCACCCCCCCCCTTCTGAGCCTGAGCCCCAGCTCCCCTGGGCCATCCCCCCTGGGACCCCTCCTTCCGTCCAGGCTTCCCAGGGCAGCACCCCTGGGCCGCGGAACCCGTTTATTTTCGTCGTGGTTCGTGGTTCGTGGTGGTTCGTCACCCTCGCTCCCCCTTCCCCCTGAGCCTGAGCCCCGGCTCCCCTGGGCCACCCCCCCTTGGGACCCCCCCTCCGCCCAGGTTTCCCAGGGCAGCCCCCCTGGGCCGCGGAACCCTTTATTTTCGTCGTGGTTCGTGGTGGTTCGTCCCCCTCGCCTCCTCCACCCCCCGAGCCTGAGCCCCAGCTCCCCTTGGCCACCCCCCCTTGGCGCCCCCCTTCCCAGGGCAGCCCCCCTGGGCCGCGGAACCGGTTATTTTCTTCCTGGCTCTTGGTGGTTCGTCCCCCTCGCCCCCCCCCCCTTCTGAGCCTGAGCCCCAGCTCCCCTGGGCCACCCACCCTTGGGACCCCCAGCCCCCCTGGGCCGCGGAGCCCTTTATTTTCGTCGTGGCTCGTGGTGGTTCGTCCCCCTCGACCCCCCCCCCGAGCTTGAGCCCCAGCTCACCTGGGCCACCCAGCCTTGTCAGCCTTCCGCCGTCCAGGCTTCCCAGGGCAGCCCCCCTGGGCCGCGGAACCCTTTATGTTCGTCGTGGTTCGTGGTGGTTCGTCCCCCTCCACCCCCCCCTGAGCCTGAACCCCAGCTTCCCTGGGCCACCCACCCTCGGGTTCTCTTGCACAGCTGTGCTCTAGAGCTCAGACATTTTTATTCTCTTGCACAGCTGTGCTCCAGAGCTCGGACATCTTTCGTTTCGTCGTGGTTCGTGGTTTGTCATGGTTCGCCCCCCTCGGCCCCTCCCCCGCCCCAGCTCCCCTGAGCCACGCCACCTTGGGACCCCCCCTCCGCCCAGGCTTACCAGGGCAGCCCCCCTGGGCCGCGGAGCCCTTTATTTTCGTCGTGGTTCGTGGCTCGTGGTGGTTCGTCCCTCTCGCCCCCCCCCCTGAGCCTGAGCCCCAGCTCCCCTGAGCCACCCCCCCTTGGGAGCCAGGTTTCCCAGGGCAGGCCCCCTGGGCCGCGGAACTCTTGATTTTCGTCGTGGCTCGTGGTGGTTCGTCTCCCTCGGCCCCCCCTGAGCCTGAGCCCCAGCTCCCCTGGGCCACCCCCCCTTGGGAGCCTTCCTCCATGACCCCCTCTTGGAAGAAGGGGGCGCGGGCCTCCAGTCCTTTGCAACTCCTTTGTGCAAGAGCCAGGGCACGCGTGCCACTTGTTCCCCCTAGAGCCCTTCGCAGGCTTCTGTGTGGACATCTACCTGCAGCTCTGCAACTGGTTCGCAAGTGTCGAAATAAGACGGACAAGACAAAGAGAGCGAGACACAACAAATGGCAATCGTAGCCAGTGCGCATCTGGATCGTGTGTCCTACCATGGGTGTGTAACGTACATTCCACCACGCTACCCGATACGAGGTACCAGGTAACTGTCCAATGGTGTCGCACATGCCTGAGTCCACAGGGATCTCCCATTCATCGCCCGTGGGTCCCAGCTCTAGGGTCGTGCACAATTCAATCTCAACAAAACGAGTCCATCGAAGGCGTGACCTATCCAAAGCAACAATTCGCGCGGGAAGGGAGACGGAGGTCCAACCTAGCCTCCTACAAGATATTTGCAGCCATGAACGGACAGAGGGCCGAGGGGTAAGTCTTGTCATGAGCGATTCTCCAAACCCCGTCACCTTCGACACCCATGAGACCCCGATGAAGTTGAGTATGGGTGCAGGACCCCCCCCATGCCCCAGTGGCTAACACAAGCCCCATGGAATCAAGGTGGACCTCCTCTTCCTCTTCCAATTCCTCCTCTCCTCCCTCTTTGCAACCAGTGTAGCGCCCTTTCGTGTCTCGACCAGGGTCGGATTTCTCCCTTGCGTCGTTCGCGCGACAGGAAAGCATGGAGCTGGTCCACCATATACCCGTGCCGCCTCATGGCCCCCCTGCATGGCGCTGCCTGACGCCGCCTCATGTGTGGCCAATGAGAGTTTGCGCTGCGGTGCAAGAAACTGTTCCTCCTCTTCCTTCTCCGCCTCCTCCTCCTCATCCTCCTCCTCCTCCTCCTCCTCCCCTCGTGTCATGTTGTGCACGACGCATCACTTAAAGGTTCCAGGCAGGCTTGGGGTGAGGCCGAATCCAGACGGGCGGCCGCTGCCCGCCTTGTGCACTCGCGCAGCCCGCGGCCCAGGACTCGCCCGCTTTCTGCGGGACCGGCCTCTGTCGTCCCCTGTCGCGCTCTTGTCCGCAGGATCCTGTTCTCTCGGGGTCGCTTGCACCCGAGGGCCGATTGCAACATCAGAGGCGCGTGCCTGGTTCATTCTGCTGCGCGCGGCTCAGGCAAGACATCGGGATGGTTCCCTGGAGGTGCCCGTTGGGGCTGTGTTTGAGCGGAGTCTGGTTCATCCGCACCGCCTTCCCCAGAGCTTCGATTTGAAGGGCGGGCCAGGGCTTCCTCGGGGGTGACCCGTTGACCAGGGCTCGATCCCTCTCCCCGTCTCGGTGCGATCGCCCCCCGGCCTGTCTTGGCGCCTTCTGTACTCATATGCTGTTCCTCCTCCTGCGCCCTCTGCGACCAGCTGGCAAGTCCTCTTGGTGGGCCTGTGCCAGGCAGCGCCGACCGAGCCACGGCAGCGCGCGCCGATCGACCAAAGCCTCGTGCCGCTCCACCGCACTCTCCGTCGACTGTGTCGGCAGCGAGCCCCGGGGGGGAAGTGAGAAGAGGCGGGCTTTCTCAGAAGGCTCGGACGTCCCCCGCCTTCTGAGAAGTGTCTTTCGGGGGTGGACAGACCTCCTACCCTGACACGTCGATTAGTGAATTGTCCGTTTGCGGTTCTCGAGAGGGCGCCGCGGCCGTCATTTTCCAGGCTTGCGCCCGCCAGGTTTGGGCCCGATTTCGTTTTCACTGAACCACGAGTCTTAAGCCTTCCGCGAAGGCGCACCAGACTTTTCAGAAGGCCCGAGGGCCTCCGGAAAGCCCCGCCGCCTCCTGAGGAGGCCGGCCCCCTTTCAGTTCCCTCCGGGGCGCGCCGACCGACCCCAGCCTCGTTTCGCTCCATCCCGCTCCGCTCAGTGTGCTCAGTGTGCTCCAACTTTCTCTCCAGGTGTTGCTAGAAGTGTCTCTGGCCCAAGGTGTCCCCCAGGACTTCCACGGAGGCCCCCATGAGCCTCCAGAGCACCCACGAGGCCCAAGGGGCCCCAGGGGCTCCAAAATGGAGCGAAAAGTTGGGGAAAAGTTGGGCCAGGGACACCTTTTCCAGGCCCCCTGGATGGGGTCCGAGTGGGGTCGGAGGATCGCGCCGCATCGTCGATACATCGGCGATGCGGCTCGATGCGGAGCCCAATTTTCTCCACGCCATGCGTCGCCGACGCCGGCAGCGCATCGCCGATGGATCGCCGATGCATCGGCGATGCGGCGAGATCCTCCGACCCCATCTCTACTCGGACCCCATCTAGGAGGCCTCTACCATTGCAACCTCCGAACCTTCTTTGCTGCGCGAGCGGGGCACGCCGAGTGACGGCATGCCGCGCGCCGCCCTGCGAGGGCAGCGCGCGTGCGCCCCGGGGCGAGGGGCGAGGGAGGTGCTGTGTTCGATGCCCTCAGCGCGGACAAGGCCACAACGGGCCTCCACTGGAAGGGGAGGAGGAGGAGGAGGAGGAGGAGGAGGAGCAGGAGGAGGAGGAGGAGGAGGAGGAGGCGGAGGCGGAGGCGGGCGGAGGCGGAGGAGAGGAGGGAGGAGGAGGAGGAGGAGAGGAGGAGGAGGAGGAGGAGGAGGAGAGAGGAGGAGGAGGAGGAGGAGGAGGAGGAGGAGGAGGAGGAGGAGGAGGAGGAGGAGGAGCAGGAGCAGGAGCAGGAGCAGGAGCAGGATCAGGAGCAGGAGCAGCAGCAGGAGGAGGAGGAGGAGGAGAAGAGGGAGCATCAGGAGCTTCTGCGTTTGAAGCCTTCAGCGCGGACAAGGCAGGGCTCATTTCGATTCCCCTGATTCGATACGACTCGATTTCGATGGCTTCCGATTCCGATTCCACTCGATTTCGGATTCCGATTCCGATTCGACTTCTCCCCACGACCCAGCTGCCAATTTCCGCCGATCCGATTCCTGCCGATTGCCGATGCTCCTTGTCGATTCGATTCTGGGCTCTCCTGCAAGGCCACGACCGGCATCAACTGGAGGGAGTTCGACCTGCTCCAGCTTTGGTCGGGCAAGGCCGCCCTTTCCGCGGCCTCCGCTCTAGAGCGCCCGGCAGGAGTGCGCACCAGCGCGGGCGTGCGAGGTGGGGCCCCACCAGTGGCCCAGCACCCGCGGACATCGAGTTTGCGGTGTCAGAAGCTCTGTGCCTCATGCCTCCCAGGTGGGGTCCCGAGCAGGTGGGGTCGGAGGATCGCGCCGCATCGCCGGTGTGTCGGCGATGCGGCTCGATGTGGAGCCGGAATTTCCCCACGCCGACATCGCGGATGTATCGCCAACGTCGCCGATGCGTTGCCGATGCATCGCCGATGCATCGGCGATGCACTAGTGCTGCGGCGCGATCTTTCGACCCCATCTATTCGGACCCCATCTGAGAGGCCTCCACCGTTGCGCACTGCACTCGTCATCATGGGACTCGAGTATATATATATATATGTATATAGATGTATGTCTGTGTATTTTTATATATATATATATAGTGTTGTATCCATGTACGTATGTATATACATGTAGATATAAAGATCAAGCTATGTAACTATATGTATGTATTTATATATGACGCCGCACAGCGGGAGCAGCGGCCCCAACCGCGGTGCTGCGGGGCGCGCCTTGCCGCAGGGTGCCGACTCGTGCCGTCCGCCTTCAGCTGGGTGCGGGCTGCGGCCCCCGGTGCGCAGCCCAGCAGCGCACCCCTCCCCTTCGAGGGCAGAAGCCTCGAGCAACGGCGAAGCGCCCTGGCTTGCCCATGGGCCCACCAAGAAAAGTTTCTAAGGACCTCTTGTGGTCTGCACGACATGCTCTTGGAACATGTCTGGCTGATACTGTCTTGTTTTAACACATCGGGCTGCTGTTATAAGAGCATTGTGATTGCTCCCACAAGGTCTGTGGGTTTAAAGAATATTCTGTGGTAGGCTTATAGGAATGCCAGGACGGTCGGTCCCTGCTCAAAAGTCACGATGGCCATCCCCAGGATGGCCTGGGCTTCTGCCCACGCCGAGATCAGTCCCGTTCTTTGCTGGCCGCCGTTGATTCGCGAGGACGACCCACCTACTGATGATGACCAAGATGGACTCGGAACTGACGATGACCAAGATGGACTTGGCCACGCGCAGAGGGGTGAGTAGTAGGGGGAGGGGGGAAAGGCCTCTCAGAAGCACATCTGCTTCTCTGAAGGCGCGGACCTTATCCACAGATGCAAGGCCTGCGCCTTTTGAGAAGGAGCCTCCTCCTGAGTAGCCTTCCCACCGCACCCTACCCACCCCGCCTTTACGCGCAGCGAAGCTCACAGGGACGAAGGGACCTGAGGACGCAACACTTATGACAATCCTGAAGGGCTCCTACGGCGCGCAGTAGTTCGGAGGAGGACAAGGTACCCATACCCCGACCCTGCCGTCGTTTTCACCCGTTGGGGGCCTCCCGGGAGGCCCTCGTCGCCACCTCTGATGACCACGATGACTGGTCGCCTCGAAATTTTGGCCGATGACCACGATCGGCAGCGACGTGGCCGTCGTGCGCGCCGCCAACAGGGCGTACCAGTCCTGGCCACCGCCCTCCCCCCCGCACAGATGCAAGGCCGGCGCCTTCTGAGAAGCAGAATCCTCCTGAGAAGCCCCCGAAAGGTGCCCAGAACCTGGCCCGAATCCAGCGTGGTCTGTGTCCTAATGTGGACGGCCCACCTAAGCACGTGGTGGAGGCCGAGATTGCCAGGCTCGCCGTGTAAATCGTCTGGCCTGTCCCTTCATGTCTCACGCTGTCATTCATCCTGGAATTCTGCCTGGCATCCTCCCCCTGCCCCCTGGCGCGCGCCGCCAACAGGGGAGGGTCGGGGCGCCCCTTCTTCTCCTCTTGGTGGGACGGCCTCGGGGTGCCCCTCCTTCTCCCCAGGATCTCGGCACTCCCTGCCCGAGTGGCCTGCCTCCGGAGGCCTCGGCAGGCGCCTGGCTCGGGCGGGGGTGGCGTGGTAGCCTGCGCGCCGCCACTTGACGATGGCCAGGACCGGCACGGACGGTGCCGCCGTGCCCGTCTTGGCCACCGTACCCCCCCCGCCTCGAGGAAGCTGGCGTGCGCGCAGAATCTTGGGGCCAGACTGGGCCTGGCCAGCATCGGTGCGGTGGTCGGTGGGCAGCCCCCTGCTCGTCGTCGCCTCCGTCGCCCTCGTCGCCCTCGTCGTCGTCGTCGTCGTCGTCGTCGTCGTCGTCGTCGTCGTCGTCGTCGTCGTCGTCGTCACCCGCGCCTCGGAGGAAGGACCAGCGACCTCACCACCACCATCACCACCAGTCTGCGGCGAGCGAGGGGTGGAAATGATAAGGAGAAGACCCTCTCGGAAGGCGGCGGAACTTCTCAGAAGCCCTCGCGCTTTCTGAGAAGTTGTTGTTTGTCTCAGTGGAAGTCTCAGAAAACTTCTCCGACGGCCGGGGGACTTCCGAACCTTCTGAGAAGGCCTTCTCCTTCTCACTTCCCCCCCTCGCTCGCCGCCGAACCAGGGGAGCCACCTCCAGTGAAGAATTCCGCGATGCCTCCACGAGCCGGGGCTGCGGGATGCCTCGATCGCGGAGGCAGTCCCACACCCCCCTGGCGCCCCGCGGTGGTGGTGGTGGGACCGCCACGTTTTTGTTCACGACGTCGACCCCCAGAAATCTCGACCCATTCTCGGCGGCGAGCGAAGGGGGAACATGAGAAGGAGAAGGCCTTCTCAGAAGGCGGCGGGGCTTCTCAGAAGCCCTCGCGCCTTCTGAGAGGTTTTCTATGTCTTCGGGGAAGGCTCAGAAAACTTCTCAGAAGGGCGGGGGACTTCCGAGCCTTCTGAGAAGGCCTTCTCCTTCTCTTTTCCCCCCCTCGCTCGCCGCCAAGCGAGGGCGTCTGGGTTCCTTGCTTCTCGTCGTCGCCGTCGCCCGCGCCCCCCGCCCGGCAGGAGCCCCCGGAGTACGCAAGCCCGCTGCACAGCGCCGCGGAGGCGGATGCTTTGGCCAGGAGCGTCGACGAGAAGGACGCGGCGCAGGGAGGAGGAGAGTAGGGAGGAGGGAGGAAGATGGAAGGAGAGAGGAGGAGGAGGAGGAGGAGGAGAAGGAGGAGGAGGAATGTGGCAGGAGGGAGGTGGGAGCAGGGAGGAGGGAGGAGGGAGAGGGAGGAGGGAGGATGGAGGAGGGAGGAGGGGAGGCGGGAGGCGGGAGGAGGGAGGAGGGACGGACGAGAGGACGAGGGAGAAGGGAGGGAGGAGAGGAGGGAGGCGGGAGGGAAATGGAAGGTGGAGGGAACGGAACGGAACGGAAGTGCCCGCGGACGGGGGAGTGCACAGCACTAAATGTGCAAGTTAATATACTGGCACAACAAAACGGGGATAAAACCTACACCTCAGGCGAGGACCAAAACTTATCCCTTAGACTGGGCCTCTCTGGCCAACTCCTTAACCCGAATTCGTTCTAACAAAGCAGCCATTCGTTGCTCATAGGGAGGGGCCGCATCAGCACTGGAGAAGGATGTCCTCACCACGGTGGGGGCGTCCTGACACGGAGGGTCGGCGGAGAGGCGCAGCCTCTGGAAAGGAACCGCACGATCAACAAAAGCCCGAGTTCTCGGGTTCGGGCAATGACCCTTCCGATACTCAGCCAAGACGTCTAGCCCTTTACGCGTGGGGGCCTCACATTTCCGACTGAGCTTGATACCCCTCCCCTGGGACTAACCCCCGCAACGAAGGCACAATAATTGTTCCTTGGACGCAGCACGACACGACACCGAGACATCTCCAGCTTGTCGAGCCATCGTCCCAGACATGGCGACAAGAGCGTGTCCCATGGAATCATGGAGCAGCTTCTTAAGGAATTGGGGCAGCCCTGGACATCCATCCATGGGCCCTTCCTTCTCTGGGCAATTGAGCACTCGAAAACACTGAGTACACTGAGTGCCAAGTGGTCCGTGCTCCCACTTGTGCCATGACAACTTTCGCCGCGACCGCCCAGAAATTATTCGATGAGGCCTTGTCCACCGAAATTCGTTTCCAAAAAGGGGGAGCACCGTACTTGCAAGCTTCATGAAGTGTGCCGCCCTCTCACCAGCTAAATCCAACTCTTGTGAAAAGGCTGGCGAGGGGCTGGGATGCAAACGGAGGCCGTCTTTCGCATATCGATCCGCCGCCGCGTTGGCAACGGCAAACATCCGCTCGACCCCTTCGAGGGCCTCGATCTGCCCACGCTCTCGATGGGCCTTTACATGCCGGATCGTGTGTATCATGGCCGTGCCCTCGAGCTGCTGCGCAAAAGCTCGAACGCCTGCAAATTTGTTTGACAGCGCAAGCTGGGCATCTACATCTTTCTGAGCGAGGCGTATGGCCGCCATGCAATCAGCACCCAGCTCAGCTGGTCGCGTGGCTATCTGTCCACAAATCGCAATCCCTACATGCTCTGCCATGGCTGGTGTTTGCGGCAAGGACCCTGGGACTACGCCTTTGACGATCGCCACTGGGTCCTCGCCAGCATCAGGACACACAGCCACAGCCCAGGCAGCACGCTGCAGTGGCCGAGTCCACGGTCTGCTGCTGGACCCGTCCGAAGCCAAACGCAACGGCGCTAAGCTGGTCAAACTCGCTATCTCTTCTGGTTGCATGTCCAGTGCGTTGCCCTCCCGATCGTAGAGGTAAACATCAGACGAGACCAAAGGGCAGGGCAACTCACTGTCAGCATGCACGTGTACACCGCTCGTGAAAATTGGCAGGTCGGGGTTGTCGCGAGCAGCACTGAGGAATGCGTCAGGCACCTCAGAAGCAGCGCGTGCTTCTACTACACGAGGGAGCTGACAGCTATATAATGCGTGGTGGACTGTGTCAGGTTGACCACACTCACACAACCCGTCACACACGTAACCCGCACGCATCGCCCTATCGTTCGTCCACAGTCCACCACACCCACATGTTTGGATTAAATACTTCTGGCACCGTGTGTATCTCTCGGCTTCCGGTGCTACCGCATCCCTCAGGAGTTCAAGGGTCGCACGAGAGCCTCCAGGAAAACCCAGGTGCCTCGCCAGGTCTAACTCACGCTGGCGCTGCAAACCTTGCTCCACCATGTCCACGAGGAGGGGCGGGGGGGCGGTCCCTAACTCGACCTCAAGGCCGCTGTGGTCACACCACTTCAAGGGGCCATCCGCTCGCCAACCAGCCCCCTTGAGACATAAGACTGCTCTAGCTAGCGGGCCTTGGGATCTATCCCACGACTCGCGCGCGACAGGCTTGGATAGATCCCAACGCCTGAGAAGCTCAGCTCGCAAAACTAAGGACAGTGCAGGACGCCGCGTAGCAGCCCAGATCATTCGACACCATTATAACGTTGGTGCGATCGCTAATCTACCACTACTGTCCCCGAACAGGGCAACCTTGGCCCTCAACGACATGCCGCCGTGACTCGGGCCAGTGCTGCGGGCCATTAACCTCCTAAGACTGAGCCACCCCGGGGCCGTGAGACCCAAGACTTCATCCCCAAAGCTACAGGCAGGGGCAACTCCTTGACGGGCAACCTTCGTGAGGGGGGTCTCTTTGGGTCCCTTGAATCGCCTTCGGAGAGCTTGAACCTTTCGAAATCGTTTGCGCATTAGAGTGAAACGCCTTCGCTGTTTCAGCCGAGCATGCTGGCCGTGTCTCCTAGCTCCCGCAGACTCAATTCCTAGGTACGCCACGCTGGACTTGCATACACTGGGCGGCCGCCCCAATGATTCACAGGCATCTCGAGCAAGCTCCTTGGACGCCGCCATGATGGATAGCTTGGCTGAGTTGAGACCTGCATTGAGAGAGTGGCTGACGTCTTCGAAGTGCTTCATCTCTCTATCGCTACACCCTTCGCAATATCGTAGTGACTGGATGAAATGCCGATGCCTGCGTCATCTATGTAGTTTTGGAAATCGACCAACGGCGCACGCTGTGCAAAACATGTCCAGGGCATCAACTGCATGCACCTTGATTACCAGATCACTGTGCCCATCACCCGCTGGAAGCCCATACCTCGCAATCAACGGTGCCGTCGCAAGATGTCGCCCCAATCGTATCACGCGCGGGCTCATCCACATGTTGAACACAAGCTTGAGCCAAGATGTTGGGGCTTCGTGACGCAGGAACTTGCGACGCAGCTCCAGCAGCGGGATAGATTCGTGATACTTGCTCCAGCCTGCCACAATAACCACTCCGTGTTTGTGCTCCACTTGGTTGCTCTCAGAACGTACAGCCTGCAACCACGCACAGTCAACTGCAGATCGTCCTTTGCTCGCACCTCAGTAGCGCCTGTCCAAATTTGCGCGCATCTGGGCTACTATCGGCCCCCTAGCCCGCTGCCGCACTCGGTACATCATAGCATGCAATATGATGAGTCGGTTGCCACCTGAAGGCTTCCCCAGTAGCGGCATCTGAATCCAACACAATTGCTTCGGCAGCATCCCTATCGCCTCCGACGCAGCCATCGGCATGCTGAGGGTGCCCAGACCTTCGTCGTCCAACAAGCACAGGCGACGTGGGTGGAGGTTGTCGAAGCTCGTAGCCGTGGTCGCTGGGAAGGACTTGGCGGCATCACGTATCTCCTCCGCCGTGAGCCTCAGACATATCGATCGATCAGGTACCTAGGCTGGTAGCGCCACATCCGAGGCCTTCACAGCATGCGATGCGTCTCCACCTCTTGCGCCGCAATGTCGACTGGACCTCCTGACTGGGCCCGGGGAGCTACGGCTGGAGAAGGGATCGCCTTCGCCCTTTGTGACTCGATGCAACGGTTTTGAGCCACCCTGCACCGCCATATTACACCAGTCTGTCCATGCTTGGTTCAAATCTTCCAATTGCCCTCTCACTGCACACTTAACATCGTCTGAGATGTCATCTACAAACTGCTGGATTCGACCCATGCCCATTGGTACCGTGTTGATGAGGGCTCGTGCTTGGATCACCGTGGAGTCTAATCCGGCATTGACCCCTGATCCAGGCAAAGGTTCCGAGAGAAAAGATGTGATCTCATCAGAACAACGCATCATCCCATCTTGGTCGGACTGGGCGCACAACTTCTGGATTGTGACAACACGCGCTTGAAGCCACTGTCATCCATGCGCAACGCTCTGCACCGCATTGTCATCCAAAACATTGCGCTGCATCAACCCATCGCGGCTCCAGGTTCCGTGCGCACGCTCCTGACTGCTTGTGATCCATGCCTACATTCTGCGCAACGTACTCCGCAACCGTTACAGCATGCTTCCCATATACATTCGAAAGGAACGCCCAAGACACACCTAGATCACTGCTCTCGTCTTGCGCCAGCTCAAGCGCACGTCTCGCCATCACAGCGCGCAGTGACCTATCAATCGGTTGAGTCAAGGGCCCAGGCGGAGGGGTCGCAGGCAGCTTTGCCGATGCCGTGTAAACGCAGTGCTGGATCTTGCATCCGGCGTCAATTAGGGATAGCTGAACTGGCCTATGAGCTTTCTTGTGCCGCTGCATAACTGCATGAACTCCTCTGCATCCTCTCGCAATCGCATTGTTCAAGCAGAAAGAGTCGATCGTGCTCACGCCCGTGTCGCCACGAAAAGTAACATGCGACGGGGCAGCTGTGACGATATCAGCATGCTGAGGGAAACCAGAGTGCTCGAGGATGGAGGCGTCCATGTTCCAGTCTCCTGCGATCAGGCCTGGCCCCGATGTACCCGAGAGAATCCGCCCAGCAGCCGCGAAAATCTCCGCATGCAGGCCCACTGGGCCTATCGAATCTTGCAGGTAAACATTGAGAATGGAGATCGGTGGCCATCCTCTGAGGTCAATAATCACATGCTGAAGCCGCTGCGCACAGATGAGCTGTCCTCCTGGCGGGCGCCGTAGCCCTAGATCATCACGCACGAACACCGCAACTCCGCCAGAAGGAATTGAGCCACTGGTGGCCCCCGCAGGCGTAGCCGAACACTTCCAGCGCTTCCCAGCAGCCCAAGAATATAAAGCCTCCAGAGCATCCTCCGTGAAGCCTATCTCCTGGC